TATATATATAATGGTTCCATATAGGATACAGGTTCGATTCCTGTCGGAGGACGCATATTTTCTATGAAAATTTCTCGGACATTCAGGCTGGTAAATGTTGTTAATACCGTTTATTATAAACAGAGAATTTACTTAAATATTTGTATCTATAACAAGAACGTATAAACATAAAAATGTCTTATATATATATGTGTGTGTAAGTGCGTTAGTTCGAGCGTTATTTTTAGTGGATACCTTTTTTGGAAATAGACTCTCCCTTTTTTTATTTTAAACAACCTGTATTATGGCTACGGTTCTACGGAAAACTTAAGGAAATGTACTTTAAGTTTTCTCGTCTGCAAAGGACGGTAGATGTAAGACAAATTGCATTAAAAAAACGGGGCGTCTATTTCAAACAAGGGTAGTTACTAAAAATAATCTCGGATTAAAAATAGTACATTAACTTTTTATATACAAAACACCGGTCGGGTTTCGATCCCGGCTTGAAGCAATCTAACCACACTGAAGAGCTGTGATACAGCGAAACAGTCTGCCTGCGGATGAAAATATATATATATATATATATATATATATGTTTGAATAAAAAAACAGACCACGTTAAGATTCCATGTAATAAGCTATTTCACCATAACCCCTTTAACAGGGTTCTGGATCATCAGACTTTACTTCCAAAAGTTGAAATGAACTTTTGAAAGTAAAGTCTGATGATCCAGAACCCTGTTAAAGGGGTTATGGTGAAATAGCTTATTACATGGAATCTTAACGTGGTCTGTCTTTTTATTCAAACATATCTCCTCTGAATTTCACATTGAGCTCTCTGGATATCATCCTCCTTGGGTCTACCCATACGGATTACCTAAGTTTTCATAAACTATATATATATATATATATATATATATATATATATATATATAGGATGCGAGGTACGATGTTTAAATTGTCGGCATTTTATATTTTCAATTTCGCGCATGCGCGTTATTTGTTTTGATTTTGCTGACTCCGCAGTGTAGTAGAGTCAGTTGGGCACCGTCTATGATGCAATTCAGTTCGCTAGAAATTTGGAAACAACATGCTGTACTGCTTGGCATTCGTGCCGGGAGCACAATACAGATATTTCAGAGTGTTTGGGTGTCAATCTGAGGACAGTGCAGAGGATTCGGAAAGAGTTGGATGAGTCTAATGGTGATTATGAAGGTGTTTGGAGTGATCACTATTGATGGCGACGTTATGCCTCCATTCATCTTCCAACAGGGTCTCGGACTCAACACGGAGGCCTTGAGGAGGTAGAGCTGCCTTGGTCCAAGAAAGTAACTGCTGGAAGACCATATTTCTGGTTACAGGACTCTGCAACATGCAACACAAGCGGGAGAAACCAGTCAGGGCTGTCAGACAATTTCTGTGACCACTTCACCCCCTACATGTGGCCACTTAACTCCCCAGATTGCAACCCCCTTGATTATTATGTGTGGGGCGCAGGAGAGCGAAAGACCAACAAAATAGCAAAGATGGACTGAAGGCAAGGATTATGACAGCATTCACCAACTTAAACAAGGAGATCGTCCTGAAGAGTTACTGGAGATTCCGAAGTCGTCTCTAGTGGCAATTTTATTGCATAAATTTTCTTTTTTGTCTTTCAAGATATTTTTGTGTAATTTTGCTAAATACAGTGTTCGATGGATAAATTGTCGTCAAAATTCCGCAAAATTGAAAATAACAGACATCTCATCTAACAGATATATTTACCAAAATCACACACAGACGGTGCCTAACTGTACTGTATAGGCGACAAAATAAAAAAAAAATAACGCGCGTGTGCGAAATTAAAAATATAAAATGATGACAATTTACCCCTAGCACACCCCACCCCAGCCCACCCCACCTTTGTAGGGTGGAGTAATGGATAACGGCGTGCATTGAGGAAGCGGGGAGCCGAGTTCGAATTCTGGCCGAATCCATTACATTTACTTACGTTCTAATACCCTTAGGAAAGGTATGTATCCTCTTCTTCTCCCCCCAGCTATGAGCTAATAGCAGGATAGACTGGGTTCTCTAGCCCTGGATGGCGACTGGTCTGCTGCAGAAAGAAAGGGCAACCTACTGCGGGGAAAAATCTGCATCGTCAGTCATATATTGAAAAATACATGATCGCCTAAGAGTGTATCACGCTTGGCACATAACTGACTGTTAAAATAAGATGTCAGTGTTATTTTCATTTTTGCGTAATTCAGAGGACAATTTATCCATAGCATCCTCTCTCTCTCTCTCTATATATATATATATATATAGAGAGAGAGAGAGAGAGAGATATTGGAATAGGAGGGAGTTTTCGATCTCCTAGCTGCATGCTGGTCAATCGCTCTTATAAAAAGTTCGTCACTTTTTGACAACACTCTCTGGTTTTGTCTGGTATGGGACACCAGCATCGTTGCCAGAAGTGTCGCCACCACCGGCCACGGGATATATATATATATATATATATATTGCTTTTTTGTTTCTTATAAAGATCCAAACAGCTAAATCCAAATTTTAGTCTTCATACTTATTGATCCCTGGGGAATCTTTTAACATAAACAATTTGGATTCCCCTTTGCGGGAAAGAACTTAATGATTCTAATGATGTTGCTGGCAATAAACCATGATGAACGTAACTCGTGATAATATCCGATTTTTAATTGAGAGACAAATAGACATTTTCTATTTACACATTTCGTTTGTTTTATTTGGTTTAAGAATTTATGTGGATCGAACTTAATGATGCTTTCCTTCATTCAGTAGAGAAACTCGCCATCAGTATACAGGAATCATGTTACAGTCATTGCCGGGCCGATGTGCACTTCTCCTGAACTCGGGGTGTGGGGTAGGGTTTTGTGACCCTTGCTATCTTATCAACATTTGTTTTTATCAACCTAAATTTATATAAGCTACAAATTAAACTAAGCACAACTATTAAAGGATGAAAAACATTTGCGGATTTTGACGTCAATCTGGTGTTTTTTTCCCGTTCAATTCCGAGAATTTGTTTTTCTTCAACTATCATATACTCGAAAAAACAAATACTATATAAAAATAAAATTCACTATTTTTTATCCATAACTAGCAGTAGAGCCCGGCGTTGCCCGGGGATGTAACAGTAAGAGATAGATCAAGTATCGACCATCATAAAGACTGAAAAATAAAATTGACAAAGATTATTGTTTAAGGTTGACGGACACGCATGTCTTAATTATATATTTTTTTTTTTTTTTACGAATTGGTCAAACCCAAACTCAAACAAAAACATTGTTTTCAATCGTTATGAGTCTATCGATTGGTGAATAGAATTTGATTATAAACAATTGTCTTGTAAATGGAATTTTTAAAGCATTCTGAATGTAAAAATAAAGAAAAAAGTGTGCAAGACAGTAAGAAACACTACCTGCCAAAAAAAAGTGTAGTTTAGTTGAAATCGGTTAAAATCCGATCCCATATATAAATGAACACACACACACACACACACACACACACACACACACACACAACCTGTGTTTTATAATAAGTATAACTCGATATGAGTTGTCCCCCTTTCATTCTGGTGACAGATTCGTGTTTTCAAATTGATTTCGTGCAAAAACAATTGTGTTTTTCCAATTTTTGGCGCTGTCAGAACCACCGCAAGGTAATTTTACGCAGTCCTGTGAAGTTTGTTGAAATCGGTTGAAAAATGTAGGAAATCTGATCCAATATATAAACGAACACACACACACACACACACACACACACACACACACACACACACACTGTGTTTTATAATAAGTATAACTCAATATGAGTTGTCCCCTTTCATTCTGGTGACAGATTCGTGTTTTCAAATTGATTTCGTGCAAAAACAATTGTGTTTTTTCCAATTTTGGCGCTGTCAGAACCACCGCAAGGTAATTTTACGCAGTCCTGTGAAGTTTTGTTGAAATCGGTTGAAAAATGTAGAGAAATCTGATCCAATATATAAAACGAACAGACACACACACACACACACACACACACACACACACACACACACACACACACACACACACAACCTGCGTTTTATAATAAGTATAACTCAATATGAGTTGTCCCCCTTTCATTCTGGTGACAGATTCGTGTTTTCAAATTGATTTCGTGCAAAAACAATTGTGTTTTTCCAATTTTTGGCGCTGTCAGAACCACCGCAAGGTAATTTTACGCAGTCCTGTGAAGTTTTGTTGAAATCGGTTGAAAAATGTAGGAAATCTGATCCAATATATAAACGAACAGACACACACACACACACACACACACACACACACACACACACACACACACACACACACACACACAATCTGCGTTTTATAATGAGTAAGATGTTGAATGTGTTAAAATTATTCAACTTTTTAGCAAGAAAAATCTCAAGTTGGTGTTAAAAATTGCCGCAAAATTTTCACTTCAAAATCTTTGTATTTTGATAGTTTTTTGAAGATCTTCAAAGATACATTACAATCTGCAGGAACTGCCATCTCAATAAGAAAGCACATTCTGTTTTTTGTGGTCTTTGATTACGATGTCTGGATGATTAGATTTCATTGTTCTGTCTGTGTGTATTGTAAAGTCTCACAACATTATTGCAAGTCCTATCTCTGTAACCGGGCCTGGATTTCTTGCAGTTTCCTTCCCCGTAAAAGTTGCATATTTTTCAATGCAAATATTGGCCCACCCTATCATGCCGAGTTTTATATTTAGTGGGTGCTAATACTATGCAACCTGATACAAGATGTACTTATTATTATTCAGGATGTGGCTTTCCAGAGCTTCCTGTCTAAGTATAGCTTGCCTTTTTGTTATCTACCCGTTCTGACATCCATTTTCACTAGCTCACTAGGTGGGTTATACACTGCTTTCCTCTGTCCCTCTTGACGTGAATATGCCCCGTGAGTGTCCAATTTTCCAAGCCTTCTTTCCTCATTATTTGCCCTAGAAATTTCAACTGTCTCTTTCTGATGCCAGGCTTACGGCCAAATCACTTTGAAACACAGAGTCTCGTACGATCACCGAAGTTAAGCAACGTCAAGCCTGGTCAGTTCCTAGATCGGTGACCTCTTGGGATTACCATGAGTGGTAAGCTTTCATATGGAAGTAGTGTAATGGATAACGGCCTGGTATTCGAAATCGGAGAGCCGAGTTCGAATTCCCGTTTGATTCGTTATATTAATTTACGCGAAATCATTTCTTCTCCCTCCCAGCTATGGGTTAATTAGTATGACTTGTATCAGTAAATCATTAAAAATGTTACAATCTAAAATATATTCTGGCTTTAAATAATCTGAAAAAGTTTGATGAAAAAACAAAACAAACCAGTCAAGTTTCTAGTACTACGTGTAAGTGACCCTTTTTGTTTTCATTTTCTCTAAAACTTCGTCGTTGCTTACGTGTTCCGGTCATGGTATTCTCAGCATCCTTCTGTAGATTCATCTGTGATGAGATGGTCTAGCATTCACTGTCCAAAAGTATATCCTTGGAATCTCTAAAATGGACGAGGCTATTTGTCAAATAAATGAAGGATTATTTTCTTTCTTAATAAATATAAAACCTCCAAAAAGAAAAAAAAGAAGAAAGGTTTCTGCATCTTCTGCGTTTATTCAGTGTTATGATGTCATTCACTTACGCGCAAATACCCTTGGGAAATGTATGAATCCATCTTCTTTACCCCCATCTATGGGTTAAATAGTAGGACTTGTATCTGGAAAAAACATTGTTAATCTAACGAATAAAAAAATGTTAATGCAATATTCTCTGTCCTCAGTTCCCCACGAAAAAAATAATCTTAAAATCCAAATTATGTTTCGAATATAAATAACTCCGTAAGGGTTGATAAGCCGTAAAAAACAAATCAATCAATCAGTGTTTTGACCATAGTGAGAAAATCCTCACAGCACCGAAATACTTTTATCATTTAGTTGTTTTTATTGTTTTTGTATCATTTTGTTTTATTTTAGTTATTTTATTATGATATTGTAAGTTTGCTTGTTTCTCTGTTAGTAAGTTAGTACGTGAGTTACGCTCAGCCACTGCCTCAGATAAATAACGGACTCTTTCATTTGAGTACGAGGAAAGATGGAAGAAAAAGATATATCATAAATGCTGTTTGGTTTTACCGAGAAAAAGAAAGTATATATAAATAAATAAAGAAAGAAAGAAAGAAAAGAAGGGAGGAAGAAAGAAAGAAAGAAAGGAAGAAAGAAAAGAAAAGAAGGAAGAAAAAAAGAAATCATAGAAGAAAAGAACAAAGAAAAAAAGTAAAAATAAAGAAAGAATGAAAACAAAGAATATAAAATAGCATGTCAACTAATATGAAAAGGAAAATACGAAAAAGTAACAAATAATAAAATGAAACATAAAGAGAAATAAAAAGAAGAAAGAAAAAGGAAAGAAGAAGAAGAAGAAAGAAAGAAAGAAAGAAAAAGAGTGGAAGCGATAATGCTTATATATTTATAACTGTTACAATGAAAAGGAAGATTTTGTCAATTTGGAATCTTTTCGTTTGAGTCCCTTATTTTTAACAACCTGTATTCATATTTATAATTGTTATTGCAAATGTTTTCTTAAAGTTGTTAAGTTCAAATATTTAGCGATGCAATAATGGAATTTTCACTGGTATTTTATTTTCATGTAGCCTTTTCAATCAGAAAATTAAGAATTATGATTCATCAGAAAATTCATATAGAAAAACCATGAAATTTTCTCGGCTACTGCAACTTTAAAAAAAAATATATATTATTTTAGTATTATTTCTATATAATTTCTTTCATACAATTTTTACTTTATTCTTACAGTTCATTCTTTCGTGAATTGATTTTTCCATTGCTTGTGTTTGAATTTCCTAACAAATGAGCGTTTTCTTTTTTCTAATCGTGAAAGTCTTCTTCATTTTTTCTCTCTTAACTTAACATGGCCTCTCACACTTTATACAAGTCAGCGCATTCAAAAAGACAAAAAAAAATACAAGGCAATAAGCAAAAAACACACTCGTAGATTTATATGCCTGTGTATATATATATATATATATATATATATATATATAAAATAATTATATATATTGTTATTTTCTTTTGGATGATTTCGAAATACTTTTCCGTTTCTTTGTCCCATTTGACGCTTTGTTTTGAGGGAATCTTTTTTTTTTTCCTCCTCACCACTCCCTGGGAGCCATCATGAACTGATCATTTATCGGCAAGAAAAATTTGGCTTTTTTCTTTGGAGTATGGCGCCTATGTATCCTATCTCATGTCCACAAGATTTCATTTCGAAAAAAAAAAAAAAAAAGTGCTGGGTGTGGAATAAGAAAAGAAACTAAGGTAAAGAATTAATATTAGGATAAGAGGGAAAGAAAGATTATCGTCTTCTAAATATGCGAATTAAATAATGTTTGCATTTAGATGAGATTTTATTCAGCTAGCGTTATCTTCTCATCGCTCCCCCCCCACAAAAAAATACCCTTTCCAGTTTGTATTACAAGTACATAATCTCTTTTCTGCACACGATATATTACTCTGTAATTTTGCACCCAGCAACCTTCCCAACATGACCCGCCACACAAATCGGCAGCCATCTTATATGTCTCCACACTGTCCACCATTTTGTTTGTCATCTTGGGGTAAGAACAAAAATCAAACAAAATTTGTAATTTCTCCTCGTTTTCTCTCATTAGACTCTTTTTCTCATTTCCTGCCTGATTTTTCCTGCCTTTTCTTCTTTTTTTTCCATACTGCCTTTTTTTTTTCGTCGTTTGGCTTTTTTCTCCAATTTTCTGTATTTTCACTTCTTAAAATCCTTTATAAGATTTCTGGTTTTATTATTCCTATTCCTATTCCTTTTTTTCTCTAAATAGAGAATTGGAACGGAGCATTCAGGACTGCAAGTTTTTTCTTTACTTTTCTTTTTTTTCATTTTTCAATTTATATTTCTTTCTTTCTTTCTTTCTTTACTTTTCTTTCTTTTTTTTTTTGCTGGACTCTTTTTACATTACATTATTTTTTTTTCTTTCTTTCTTTATTTTATTTTTATTTATAGTATTTTGTTTTCTTTTTCCCGCACAGGATTAGGTCCCGAATCTGTCCACCTCTGTTTCTAACCCGATTCCACCATTGACACTTTCAGGAAATCTTTACAGACAGTCCATCAGCATCTGTCCAAATCCAATTGAGATCCCTTTTCCTAAGAGATTGAGAGAGAGAGAGAGAGAGAGAGAGAGAGAGAGAGAGAGAGAAGAGAGAGAGAAGAAAGAGAGAGAGAAAGAGAAGAGAAGAGAGAGAGAAAGAGAGAGAGAGATAAAGAGATAAACCCAGAGAGAGAGAAAGAGAGTGGATAAAGAAAGAGAGAGAGAAAGAGAGAGAAGAGAGAGAGAAAGAGATAAAGAAAAGAGAGTCGGCCGTCTGGGCCTAATGGCATACACTGGAGACAAAACTTTAAAGGAAATTGTTATATTTATTTTGTAATTCTCTCTTTATAGACATTAAGGATAGAAATGAAGAAAATGAGTCGTAAAATTCCCCAGTCGTGCGTAAACAATGCTTTGCACATTCACGATATTTAATTGAACAAATCAGAAACTATTGCTGTGTAAATGAGAACGAATTAAAAATGAACCGCGTACATACATGCATACATGCATACATGCATACATACATATGTGTGTATACGGGCATATAAACATACACTAACAAACACACACGTGCGTTCACAAGCATATGTACTCACATTGAGTTTGTGACGATTGGCCGGAGGAGAAGAAAGGAGTCTGCAATTTAATTCTTGAGGGGGCTAAAACAATACTGAGATTTCTTATTAGACAATGGCGGCTCTATAAGGGGTTTTAAACATTTCCCTATGGTTGAGGAAGGCTACCAAACTGATGACATTTATTATTAGTAGTATTTGACTTAGCTGTATCCTATTTTCGGGAAGTTTGAACAGCTCACATGAACCTAACATTGAAATAGTTTTTACCGCCATCTTTCTGAGTAGTACGTTTTGAGTTGATGGATATGTAACGAGGGAGATGAATTGTATATATAATATTGTAGGTACATTCCCAAAAAGCATTACCTAGGGTTTAAAATGCATTTTAAAATTTAAAAATCTTTCTTGAAGTTTCTATTTTAGTTTTAATTCCAAGTTAATGGATCAAATTTAATATTTCCAATAAGTAAAGTACTTTGCTGTATTTGGAACTGAATTTAAATAGATTGGAATGATTTTTTAAATAGCTAAAAGCGGTCGTATTGACAACATAATTCTCTTTATTAAAAACATTCTTCAAAAATAAAATATACTTTTCTAAAACTTTATTTGAGGAAGATTGATTTAAAGTTTAATAAATCTGAATTAAAACAATCATTACTTAATTTTAGTTTAAAATATCCCAGAAATGCCTTTTCTTAGCACGGATGTGGGTGTTTAAGACTGATTTATCGATAGTTTATCTTTAATATTTTTAAGTAAAGGGCACATAACTGTAAAAATTAATTGATGAATACAACTTTAACGCCTTTTTATATACTTTTTAACTATCCAGTAATCTTAATAGCTTTTCTAAGATAATATCTTAGTTTTAGTGCATTTTTTTTTTAATTTTACGATTAAGAGCAGATTTCCTTAACTGGAGGTTCTGTTTTACAAAACAAATTTGATGATTTAAATTCTTCAAGGACTTGTACTTATAACTAATACAGGCATTAAGCGCTACAAAAAATTCTCAAAATTTTATAAAATTAAATAAGTGGGGCTAACTCATGTAAAACAATATTTTTTTTACCAAAACTTTCTAAAATTAAACATTTAAAAATAATTTCATTCATTTGTAAATAAATCCTGATAGTTTTATTAATATCTGACAATTATCTGATTTTTGTAATAATTTCTTCTAAAAATGTGTTTTTCATTTCAGAAAGATTTGTTTTAATGAAATTCTGAGGTCTTATCCCCAAACGAATTAAATTATTTTTAAAATGTTTCTTTTTCCAGAAAATATTTGTAAAAATATTTTTTTTTTATATATTTTATATTTACTCTCACACTTATTTCCTATTCCCACACAGACTCTCTCACTAAAATTTTGTTTTT